TTTTTTTCAGTATTCCCTCCCCTCCCCTCCTACCCATGGTAACCAACAAAGAAAGTTCCCTTCCATATATAAACCTTTCCTTGACTTTTTACAATAATGAACTAATACTGTATTTGTCCATCTGTGATTGACTTCTTTCACTCAGCATAATGTCCTCCAAGTTCATCCACACTATGTGGTGTTTTGCAGATTGCACATTATTCTTTAGAGTTGTAGAGTATTCCACTGTGTGCATACACCCCAGTTTGGTTATCCATTCTTCTGTTGGTGTGCACATAGATTGTTTCCATCTTTTTGCCATTGTAAGTAGTCCTGCGATGAACATGGGTGTGCATATATTTGTTCTTGTGCTGGCTCTCACTTCTCTAGGGTATATACCTAGTAATGGGATTGCTGGGTCAAATGGTATTTCTAATTCCAGCTTTTTAAGGAATCATCATACTGTTTTCCACAGTGGTTGTATCATTCTACAGTCCCACCAGCAGTGTATGCGAGTCATAATCTCACCACATCCTCGCCAGCATCTGTTATTTTCTGTCTTGTTGAACTTTGCCATTAGTGCTGGGGTGAGATGGTATCTCATTGTTGTTTTGATTTGCATCTCTCTGAAGGCTAATGATCATGAGCATTTCTTAATGTATTTGCTGGCTACCAGAATATGCTCTTTGGTGAAGTGTTCATTTATGTCTTCTGCCCATTTTTTAATTGGATTGTTAATCTTCATGTTATTGAGGTGTTGGAGTTTTCCATAAATTTTAGACATAAGTGCCTTGTCAGATACGTAATTATTGACAAGTATGAATTTGTTGCTGCTGTCATTTTATTATGTTATGTGCTTTGTCATGGTGTTGATTTCTTTGTTCCATATAATTTGCTGTGCTGAGCTCGTTTTGTTCTTGAGTCGTGTTGTCACTTCCTTCATTGCTGTTTTTTAGTATTTGCTAAATCTTTGTACTGGTCTTCTTTTATTGTAATGTGAAGGTTTATCATTTTTCTTTGAGGTTACCCTGTGATTTATAATTTCTTCCCAAGTTTAGAACAGTCCATTCTATCATGTAGTTGTCTTGACTTCCCTACCATTTAGAAGTTTTATAACTACACAGTTTTTTCCCTCTTTTTGGTTTGTAGTTGTCTTCATTTGTCAATTGATGTCTCTGGTTCCCTGTTTACAATCTTGTAGGCTTATTTACTCGGAAGGAAGGTTGAGCTATCTACTTCTGTAGTGATACCACCTCAGAAACCCAAGAAGGGGTCACTGTGAGTCGGGTCTGACTCAATGGCACATAACAACAACAACAACAGGCTTATTTACTTTGGATACTCTATAACCAAGTTGGTTTCTGGGTTATGTCATCATGTGTGTTAATGGTCAGTTGTTTGCTATTGTTGGTTCTCTGTCCAAAGGACTCCCTTTAGCATCTCTTGTAAGGTTGGTCTGGTTTTAACAAATTCCCTTAGTTTCTCCTTATCTAGTAATATCCTAATTTCACGATCATATTTGAGGGACAGTTTTGCCAGGTATATAATTCTTGGTTGGAAATTTTTCTCTTTCAGGGTTTTATATATACCATACCACTGTCTTCTCATCTACATGGTTTCTGCCAAGAAATCCAACCATATTTTTATTGGTTGCCCCTTGTAGGTAACTTTTCGTTTTTCCTGTGCTGGTTTTAGAATTCTTTCTTTGTCTTTGGTTTTGGTGAGTTTGATGATGATATGTCTTGGTGATTTTCTTTTGGGGTCTGTTTGGGGTTTGTTGGACTTCTTGAATGGATGTATTCTCATCTTTCATCATACAAGGAAAATTCCCTTTCAACAAATCTTCGACAATTTTTTCTGTGGTTTTATTTGTCCCTTCCTGTTCTGGAATTCCAATTACACGTAAGTTATTCCTTTTGATGGTATCCCACATGAACCTTAGGCTTTCTTCATCTTGTTTTGATCTTTTTTCTGATTGTTCCCTTTCCAAAGAAGTATTGAATATTTACCTTCAGTCTCACTAATTTTGTCTTCCATTGATTCAATTCTTGTCCTTTGCCCATTCAATG